GTGTTAACCTGGGGGGGCGGGTATAAACGGTCCGTGGTCAGCTGCGTGTTAACCTGGCGGGGCGGGTACAAACAGTCACGTGCTTAGCAGCTCGAAGCGGCACACGCTTCCTCTCTTACGACCCTGGAGTCAGAGTTCTGCACGGGCCTCGTTGGGCTGCAGTGGAGGTGGGCAGGGCTGGCTCCTTCTGGAGGCTCCAGGGCAGTCTGTTCCCTGCCTTTCCAGCTTCGAGAGGCCACTGCCTCTGGCTGGTAGCCCTTGTCTGCCTGCACAGCCAGCATCGAGCAGCCTCGGAAGGGGCTTCCGTCTGCCTCCTCCATCTGCCTCCTCCTTCCACTGAGACCCATGTGACGCTGGCCTCCTGGGTCCTCTGATCAGCTCCGCCTTCCATGTCCTTACTGAGCCCACACCCGCTAAGTGCCTTTGCCACAGGAGGCAGCACGGTGCGGGTCCTGTGGATCAGGACACGGCTTCCCCGGTGGTCGAGCTCTCCAGTTCCCCCATGAGCTGTTAACAACTGAAGGTCCTAGCACCTCCCGCGTGCCCACCTCCACTGGACAGTGGCCAGTGGGTGGCCTGGGCACGGGTCTGCAAGCCCGTCGTGCAGTGATATTTACCCTTCACGAGACCCTGGTGGTGGGCACACGCCCATTCTGCAACTGGGGAACCCGAGGCTCTGAGCAAAACTCACCGAAGAGGATCCAGTAGGAACAGCGGGCCGAGCCGGACTATGGCCAGAGTCTAGCTCCAGCTACCTGGCACCTGCGGCCAGAGGGACAGAGGTTGGGTGAAGGGGACACTGGTGACCTCGACCCCACTCACAGGAAGGTGTGCAGGCCCCCCGACACCTTCTCAGCCCCTCATCTTGCCTAGACAGGCTTCAAGGCCGGAGCTCCCAATCGGAGGTAAAATGATTTCAGGCTGATCTGTGGTGGGTGTGAGCCATGCAGAACATTAGGGCACCGTGGGGGGCTGGCCTTGGCTCCAGATCGCCAGGGGACACGTCTGGGAGAAGCCCGAATCCAGGCCAGGCCTTGGCCACAGCCTCACCTACTGCAGAGGGCGTGCTGCCTTCCTTCCCTGGCTGCCTCCCCAGCCCTACATGGGAGTACAGATGCCTGTCCCCAGCCCTTGGCCAGGAGCGCGGCTCTAAGGCCAGGCTGTCTGGGGCCAAGCCGCAGCCCCCAAGGCCTGTGCAGGGTCCATGCTCTGCTGTCCTCACTGGGAGCCAGGGTGCTGACCAGGGACCACTGTGCCGTGCCCTGCCTGGTTCTGGCTCTGCTGCCCCTGGGGCCGTCCAAAGGGCAAGCCCAGGGCAGCTGAACACTCGGGTATACAGTGCGCACTCCCAAGTTCTCACAGTGAACACAGGCCGGAGAGTCGAAACCAGCCACAATGGCAGGACACTGCTGCCACGTGACCCGGGGGCTCCCGAGAGCTGGCCTCAGGTGCCATCGCCACCACCACCTGCTGCTTCCCGAGCACCGCTCCGAGCCCTGCCCAGACTTGCCCTCTGCTCCTCCTCCGCCATGTTCTGCACGGCTGGGACGGCCGCAGGAGTTGAAGAGGAGTCCACCAACATGCAGAGCCTGAAGAAAAGGTCTTCTATTAACGGCTGCGAGTGG